GAGCGGGCCGCCCGGAGGAGGCCGGTGCTGCAGAGCGTGCCGGGACAAGCGGGCGACCACCCCCAACTCCGTGCCCTGTGTTACCGGTTGTTTGTTGTTTTTCTTCTAGAGTGTCAGAGGCTAGCAGTAAAGTGAGCAAGCGCTTTTGAATTCAAGGGTCCTAAGCTCTCAGTTCGCCCTTATTTAAAAGGACACAGTTAAGGTATTTTTTATCCTTTTGAAAATATCGCTTTACTTACTTTTTTTAAGCTCAGAACTAAACCCGTAACCCTAAACTAGAATGCCTCTTTCGACGTGTGTGTGTGTGTGTGTGTGTGTGTGCTGTGTTCTGTGGTGCTCGCTACTGGCACATTTTTAACTGGAGGAAAGCAGTGTGGAATTTTATTTGAAAGCATGTCTCTTAAAGCCCATAAATTCTGCCAGAACCGAGAAAAACAAAGGTTGTTTTGGGGCAAATCTTACAGCTCTCTAACCTTATCTGTTATCTTTTAAGAAAAAAAATAGACTGATAAAACGCGATGGCGTGTAAGTTGAAGCTGTAGCGCACATCCGTTGGCGTTCTGCTGGTAGACGTGAAGCAAGTGCCTTCTGGTGTGTGTTGGTGTATGAATTCCTCATGAGTCAGAAAGTAATCTTCCCTGTTTAGTCTCTGGTCTGTGTTTGGAGGCAGACTGCCCTGTTTCATTTCAGCTGTCACTTGTCTTTTATGTTCATAGACACTGGAACGTCGTGTGGAGTCCGTGGCACGTGGGCGGTGCTCAGGAAGAGCTGTTGGCAGGTGCCTGGTTGAGCGGTGCCGAGCATTGTTGCCTCTGTCACCATGATCTGAAAAGACAGGGTCGTTTTGCTGGAAGCGTGTTCTGAGGTGCTGGGAGGAGGGCTCACTGACAGAGGTCAGGTGTGTGCTTCCCACGTCGTGTGCGTGAGGTGCATCCGTGTCTGTACGAACACACGGACAATACTGCTTCGGTGCTGCACCATGCAGATTTGTTAAAAACATGAAGTTATAAATAGCAAAAGAGTCTGCTCTTCCGTCTTCCTGCCTGACATCACTTCTGATCCCCGAAGCGGGACGCTCAGCCCTTGCGGTCGGGCCCTCTGCCGCGGGCCTGGCTTGGAGCTCGCCTCATTGGCAGCCCCGTGCAGCTTCTTCACCTGCCCGGGATGGGCTGGGCCGGGTGCCGGCACGGCCCTCCCAGACCAGTGGGGAGAGTCCTGTGAAACTCAGGGACAGCCTCAGGTCTCAGGGAGCAAGTGTTTCTCAAATCTGAGCCAGGGGACAAGGTCCCTGGCCTCAAAGTCTATTTCAGAATGCAAACTGTTTGAAATGGCTCACTTCGGATAAATGCTTTACTTGGAACCAGTGGTGTTTTGTTGTCCCTTTGAGAGAGCTCACATCGGCACTGCAGGGAGCTGGGAGAAGACGCCTTAGGGTGGGGGAGCGAGGCCTGAGAGGGAGGGCAGCAGGATGCCCCGCAGAGCAGCAGCGAGGTCCGGCCTCCCGGGGAATCCAGCTCACAGGCAGAACGACGACAGGTGCCGCCCAGAGGAAAGATTTGGTCCAGAGAAATCTGGAGGGGGTGTCGCTGTCATAACGGTTTGGGAGGGCCCACTGCCCTGTGCAGGGCCCCACGGTAAAGCCGTCAGAACTCTCTCTCACAGCGAGGTCCCACAGGGAGTGAGTGACTGGTCCAGGGTGGACCCAGCATCCTGGGGCCCCTCTGGTCCTCTTGCAGTGCAGACGTGTGCGTGTAACCAGCCACGCAGGTTGTTGCTCTTTGTCCACCTCTCAGTTTACCGCGGGCCGCTCCCATGCTGGGGCAGAGTGGTGTGTAACAGCAGCGAGAGAGCTTTGCGTCCTCGGGGAGCGACGAGAACGGGCCACGACGTGCTGCGGAGGATGGCGCGGAGGGCAGCTGGTTTGCCTGGAAACCAGAGCAGACAAGACAGACGTTCATGAACGATGTAGCGATGGGCTGTTCTTGCAAATGCCGACAAGGTTAAAACGAGAAGGATTTCACTTGCGTTTCAGCATAGAAAGTAAACTCCCAGGAGGGACCTGCCGGTGGCAGCGGTGCCGCGTGAGCCCCGCCTCGGACACTCAGGTGCGGCTCTTCCCGGGGACTTGGAAGCAGAGCCTCGGCGCCCTCGCACTCCTCCTTTTCCGTTAAGTTTCAGATCCGACACCTGCGAGTCTCAGAATAGTTCTGCGTCTCGTTCACTCCGTTGGCCCTTGAGTCTGAGTTTCTCGACTGGCCGGTGTGCTGTCAGGCACCCCGAGAGATCTCAAGAGGTAGGACCAAGGTGCTTGACTGTCCCGGGGCTGTGGGGACAGCCAGGCTGCCCCGGCTCACGGGGTCAGACTCCTCTCAGTGCTGGCTCTACTGCCAACACCGTCACAAAACAGTAACAGGCAGGGAGAGATCAGGATGTGGGAGGAGATGGTGTGGAGCTCACCTCCCGCCACGGACACATCAAAAATCCATCCGCCTGTGGGAAGATTCTCATGGAGAGCCAGCCGGACGCTGACACGGGACTCCTGCACAGCCAGGGCAAGGCTGCGAGGAAGGTACCCACGGAATCGGCAGAATGGGAAGAAAAGCACCGGGGCAGGGCCTGCACTCACGGGAGGGGGCTCCCAGGAAAGGGGAGGTCGCTTCCCGGGAAAGGGGAGGGCACAGGGGCGGACCTGCCCTGGGAGACAGCGGGTGGAGCCGCAGGCTGTGTCCGCTGTGCAGGAGGCAAGGCTGGCTGGCCGCTGGGAGAGCCGGGGGACAGACAGAAGGTGGGAGAAGCCTGGACTAAACTCATGAGAAGGACACGGTGCTGGCTGAGCCCACCCAGATGGAGAGAGGTCTGCCCAATGCGCTGGCCCTGCTCGCTCCATGCCACACCTTGGCACTGGACCCAGGGCGGCCAAGATCGGGGAAGAGACTCCATGTAGGGACGCAGAGGCGACTCAGAGGCCTGGGGTGGGGCCCAGGCAGGGTGATGCGGCCGCTGTTGGAGCTCACCCAAGTAGTGCCCCAAAGCAGCCCAGACTTCTGACGGCAGCGTGGCCACCTGGACTCCCACGATGGCCTCGCCAGGCACCCCAGCCCAGGCTGAGCGAGGGCTCCAGCCCCACCAGCTCCACGCACGTCACAGCACTAGGTCATGGGCGGCCACGCAGTGGAAAGAGGAGACCGAGGGCTGCACCTGAGCGGAGCCACAGACGCCCACACAGGCGGCGCTCTGGACCTCTGTGAGCGCACGAGCCCCTCTGCTTCAGCCGTCCCCTCCTTCGGGGCAGAGACCCCAGTGTGAAGAGCAGAAAAAACACACGTAAAGGGAACAGATACTGACTGGTGTATATAAAATAGACAAACAAGTTCACACTGTATAGCACAGAGAAATATATTCAATATCTTACAGTAGCTTATGGTGAAAAAGAACATGAAAATGAACATATGTATATTCACGTATGACTGAAGTGCTGTGCTGTACACCAGAAATTGACACAACATTGTAAACTGGCTATAACTCAGTAAAAAAATAAATAAGGGAACACAGCCAGCTTGAGCACATTTTTTCAACCACAATGGTATGAAACTAGAATAAAAACGGGTAAAGAACAAACACATAGAGACTAAACAACAAGCTACTAAAAAGCCAGTGGGTCAACAATGAAACCAAGGAGGAAATCAGAAAATACCTCGAGACAAATGAAAGTGGAAACACAACTTTCCAAAATACGTGGGATGTTGCAAAAGCAGCTCAAAGAGGGAAGTTCACAGCAATACAGGCCTTCCTCAAGAAACAAAAAAATCTCAAAGAAACAACCTAACCTACCATTTAAGAAGATTAGGAAAAGAAGAACAAAGCCCCAAGTCAGCAGAAGGAAGGAAATAATAAAGATCGAAGAGGAAGTAAATAAAATAGAGGTTAAAAAATAAATAGGAAAGACCAGCGAAACCAAGAGCTGGTCTTCTGTACAGAAGAAAGAAAAAAGATAAACCTTCAGCCAGGCTCACCAAGAAGAAGAGAGAGAGGCCTTAAATAAACAACATAAGAAACGAAAGAGGAGCACTATAACCAATACCACAGAGATACAAACGATCATAAGAGAACACTGAGAACAGTTACATGCCATCAAACTGGACAACCTAGAAGAAGTGGACAAATTTCTAGAAATGTACAGCCTGCCAAGACTGTCAAGAAGAAGCAGACAATTTGAACAAGACCAATCTCTAGAAGTGAAATTGATTTGTAATTAAAAACAAAAACAAAAACAAAAACTCCTAGCAAACAGAAGTCCAGGACCAGATGGCTTCACGGGGAATTCTACAAAATGTATAAAGAAGAATTTATACCAATCCTTCTCAAACTATTCAAAAAAGTTGAAGAGGGTGGAATACGCCCAAATTTATTCTACAAGGCCACTGTTACCCTGATACCAAAACCAGACAAAGAAACTACAAAAAAGAATATTAAGGACCAATATCTTTGATGAAAATAGATGCAAAAATCATTAATGAAATACTAGCAAGCTGGACTCAACAATACATAACAAGGATCATATACTGTGGTCAAGTTAGATTCATCCCAGGGTCACAAGGATGACACAACATATGAAAATCAATCATTGTGATACACCACATTAACAGAAATAAAGATGGAAGCCATATAGTCATTTCAATAAACACAGAAAAAGAATTTGATAAAATTCAATATCCATTTATGATTAAAAAAAATCTCTCATTAAAGTGGGTGTAGAGGGAACATACCTCAACATAATAAAGGCCATTTACAACAAACCCACAGCCAGCATAGTACTCACTGGTGAAAAACTGAACGCCTTCCTGCTAAATTCAGAAACAAGACAAGGACGCCCACTCTCACCACTCCTATTTAACATAGTATTGGAAGTCGTAGCCACAGCAATCAGACAAGCAAAAGAAATAAAAGGCATCCAACGTGGAAGGAATGAGGTAAAACTGCCACTGTCTGTAGATGCCACAACACTCTATACAGGGAGTCCTACAGTCTCCTCCCAAATACTGTCAGATAATAAGTGAGCTCAGCAAGGTTGCAGGACACGTGATCACCACACAGAAACCTGCTGCATTGTACACTACAATGAACATCAGAGAGAGAAAGTAAAAAAAAAATTCTGTTTAAAATTGCATCAAACAGAATAAAATACTTAGTAATAAACGTAACCAAAGAGTTAAAAGACCTAAACTCTGAAAACTATAAAACACTGATGAAGGAAATTGAAGGTGATACAAAAATATAGGATATCCTGTGTCCTTGGATTGGAAGAATTAATATTGTTAAAATGGCCATAGCGCTCAAAGCAGTCTGCAGATTTAATGCAATCCCTACCACTATTCATGCCGTTTTTCACAGAACTAGAACAAATAGTCCTAAAATTCATATAGAACCACTAAATGCCCCAAAGTGCCAAAGCAATCCTGAGAGAAAAAGAACAAAGCTGAAGATAGAACCCTCCTGGACTTCAGACTGTGCTACAGAGCTGCAGCGGTCAGAGCAGCATGGTGCTGGCGCAGACACTGGCTCATCGCCCAGTGGAACAGAATAGAGAGCCCAGACACGGACTGATGCGCCTGCGGTCAGTTAACCGGTGCCAGGGAGGCGAGAATACACAGTGGAGGTAACACAGTCCCTTCAGCAAGTGGTGCCGGGAAGACTGGGCAGCAGCGTGCACGTCAGCGAGGCACAGCGCTCCTTTGCACCGCACACTGAAGTAAGCTCAGAATGGTTTAACGACCTAGTGTAAGACCTCAAACCATAAAACTCCTAGAAGAAAACATGGGCAGAACACTCTGACAAATTGTAGCAGTATGTTCTTGGATGTATCTCCAAGGCAAAAGAAATAAAAGCAAAAATAAACAAACGGGACCTAGTTAAACCTAAAAGCTTTTGCACAGCACAAAGGAAACCATTGACTTGGCCTGAGGGGACTGGCCGCACACCGGGCAGGTGCTGGAGGTCGGCCAGGTGTGCTGGTGACACCCTGACTAAACTGTGCCAAGGGAAACACCCCAGAGTGAAGGTGAGGGTGTCCTGGCAGCAGAGAATTGGTCATGTGAGGACATGGAGCTTCGAGGGCCGTGTGTTTGCCCCTACCGAGCGGTGCCCCAGGACGCGCGGGGAGCGGCCAGCCGG